ATATGAGGTAGTTAGAAATGATAAATAACCTAGAGAGGATTCAAAGTATATGCGAGGATGTGTGCAGGTTATATGTAAATACTATACCATTTGATACGAGGGACTCGAGCATTATGAATATGCACATCAATTGAGGGTCCCAGAACCAGTCTCTGGAGGATACTGAGGGGCAACTGTATTCAAAAGCATGCTAAATATGTGCATAATTTCATATCATGACCTGCTGTAATTCACATGGTGTCACGATATATACACACACACACACACACACACACACATGCACACACACACATATATATATATATATATGTATGTATGTATATGTATGTGCAGATATACACACACACTAATATATCCTTTCTCTTAACCCTCTCATTTACCTATCGTACAGAGATCTAACTCCTCCCACCTTCTGACTGTCTCATTTGTCTCACCTCGAGTGAATTTATATACTCATCTACTCCCACCAATTTTGACATCTTTAATTACAACACGAGGAAGACCTTAGGGTCACCAATGATCTATTTAGAAAAATCTTCTCTTTTCTTTACATGTTTGCAGACAGAAACAGAATTGTTCAGGGGAATAGAAATCTTCTATGATTCTATCACCATCACTTACAGTGACTTTATAATTTTGAAGATTATTAGATTTACATATTTTATTGGATTCTTATAGCACTCCATGAGTTAATTGAGACAGAGTTTCAATCATATTTTCCAGGCAGGAAACCGAGTCACAAAAGATAGAGTGACAGTAAAAGTCACTGAAACACTTGGTAATGGAAGCAAGACCAAAGAACAGATCTAATTTTTGGCCTAGCATGTTTTCCTAAAGCATTATATATACATATGTATGTGTGTGCATATATATTTGTGTGTGTGTATATACATAAGCCTCTAGACAGCCTCTGGAGAGTTTCAAGTGAACATGAGACAAAAGAACTTTCTTCAAGCTTCCAAACATATTTAAGAAGTGAAATCCTGTTGACAAATACTTTGGCTAAATGCCATCAATGAAAACTGCTAACAAATTTTATTGAAATTTTATTGGGAAAAAAGCAATTCCATTAAAACAACAACTGAATCAATTCCAGGTGGATGCTAAAGACTGTGCTTAGGAGAGGTGGTTCGGATCATTTAATTTTTTTAATGGAATTGTGTGCATAATGAAATCTTCTCACATCCAATCTCTTTTCTTGGCAGTGAAACATCTCTATGGATACACTTGTCAACATCACAACTGGCAGAGATTTTCTTTCATCCAAGAGGTAACGTTTGCAATTACTGATGAGATCTGGAAAGATCTACTAGAGAGGTGGTCAGCCAAAGGAGGTCCTAAGGGTAGAGGCTTTTCTGGATAAGCCAGCAGAGCACTGTTACCAAATATTGGTTCATTCAATTCTCCAATTAACATTTATTGAGTTCCTAGATGTGCTGTATAAAGTGGTAATTTATCCAAAATATACAGTTATAAAGTTCTGTCTGGTTGAAGAGCTGATAATTACTATGCTGATTTTCCTTTCTTGCTCTCTAAGGCTGTGCTTAAGAGAGAATGTCCTATTTTGGGTTCAGTTAGGAAAGATGACACCGACATTTCATAAATCTTTCTAGTAACCAAATGAATACATAGACACCGAACTTTAATGAGAATCTATTGGTGTAAATTATGTGTACCTTTAGATACCTATTAATCACTTTTCTATTTAATTTCAAAAATGAGATCAGCATCTTTGAGCACTAAATCTTGAGGAATTTCTTAGAAGGTATGGGACCAGCAGATGGTGTAATGGTTACGTCACTGGACTCCTACATAGTCAGCCGTGGCTCCACTACCAGACCCGGAGACTTAATACTCATGCTGGATATGTGTGTGTGCATGCCCAAAATCCCGAGAGGAGAATGGAAGAGAAGAGATTGTGCTATAGTCATCCTTCATCGGGGTGATTTCTCACTTCTGTCTCTCTGTCTCTCCGGTGAGTGCATGTGCCCTATAGCAAAAATCTCAAAACAAAACAAAACAAAACAAAAAGGTGAGTTGTGGGATCCTCTTTAGTGTGTGTGTGTGTGTGTGTGAGTGTGTGTTTACCCCTCCTCCAACACTGTTGCTTGACCAAATCATACTTTGTATTTTAAATGGCTCCCCAAATCCTCTCGCTTGTAAGAAAGCATCATTGTAAGACCCCAGAAATTGAAGGGGCAACTTTAGAGATAAAGTCTGGCTATAGCACAGAGGTTGAAGCATCTTCCAAACAGCACAAGTAGACACAGAAGACCTGGGCCTATATATCTGTATGATGGACTCCAGCATGAAGAGTTACACTCATAATCTGCTTGTAGATTTAGAAATTCATTTTGAAGGTCCCACGGGAAGCACCTCTTTTGAGAGACAATAGTAGCCAGACTGACCAGTCACCTGGACCCGGGTGATCCCTGTTTTCTAGAGGGCAGTGGAGTGCAGGAGCTACATCATTTGAAAGTGCCTATTGCAAGATGCCTTGGCATGCTCTAGTAAATCATTGTATTTGTGAGTAGACAAGCAAAACCTGAAAGGATATTATGCTTTGAATAACTTTCCACGACTTTCCACAACTTTCTCACCAAGATCTTCCCCAAGATGTTCTGGAGCCAAATTAATAAGTCTCTCCATTACCTCTATCAGTTAATATAAGTGGGCCTTGAGAACAGGTTTCTCAGCCTTTATTATGCATAAAAACAGTATACAAATACCCTGGGGATATTGACAAAATAAAGATTCTGATTCAGTATGTTTGGGTTGGAGCCTGAAGTTCTGTATTTTCAGCAAGCGCCTGAGTTACAAAGATGCCATTGATCCATGGGCTGCCCTTTGAGTTGCAAAGCTCTAGATATCACAAAAGAATGCAATGGAATTAACATTTGTGAGTTATGACTTGAATAAAAAGCTCTAGGCCACCTACAAAGCAATTTAGAGGTATAGTTTAACACCATTTTATTAAGAAGCCACAAAGTGCATATTATATCCATTTTCTAGATAAGAAAATTGAGGCGTGGCAGTTTATTTATTTATTTATTTTTAAGAATTTTGCTATAGGGCATGTGCCCTCGCCAGAGAGACAGAAAACGAGAAATCATCCACCAGGGTGGATGGCCACAGTGCAATACCTTTTCCTTCATTCTCCTCTTGGGATTTTGGGTATGCATGAACACGTACCCAGTGTGTTTCAAGCCACTGGGTCCAGGATGCAAACCGCGGTTGGCCATGTGGGAGTCCAGCGATGTAACCACTACACCATCTGCTGGTCCTCAGGCTTGGGAATTTTACCTTACCCCAAATCAATTAGCTAATCATAGCAAATCTAGGACTGGTTCCTGATTTCTCTGACCTCAGAGCTCACCATCCTTTTGCCAGCCTATGCTGCTTCCCAGAGAATTCTGTCCTGCCAGTTTTCCAGTTTATTAAAGAGCATTTCAAGAAATGATTAAACCGGCAGGTTGAAACTGTTTGCCACTTGAATGGCATTAACATGATAGCAATGAAAAAAAAATAAATGCAGAGGAACAATGAGAATGAAATAGAAAAACCTTTGGACTACAAGAAAGTATATGGACATGGGTGACTGCACTAATAAGTCAGAGAGCAGAGTGAGGCAGGTGGTGGGAAGCTGTGATCAAGCTGGTAGTGCAGCCAGTGATCCTTCCAGCCTCTCCTGGAAGGGCCATTTTCAGTGTTTACACCATTCACTAGACGACTGAAGTTCTGGAATTTTTAGAGTAGCTCAGAGCCTCAATAATTATGGCTTAGCCTTAAGCTGTAATTTGGAAGATAGAGGGAAGCCCAGAAAGAGAAAAGACAGAAATACTGAGAAGGACAAAGCAAATGAGGAAAGCATTGTTACTGCCTAATGCCTATTGAAAAGGTGCTACAAATAAAGACACAGGAGAGGTTCTGCCTTTGTGAGAAATTAACGTGAAGTAGTTCTACTTGAGCTGAATAAAAGAGACCTATTGTCTATTTGTGAGAAAGAAGGAAAGGAGTCTTTATGAAGAGATGGAACTCTAAGGGGGCTGGGGATGATGTTGAACTTATTTAAGAGGGAGCTCCATCTAATATGAGTGGATCCAGAGAGGGAAAGAATCAAGTACATTAAATTCTTTTCTTAATTTTTTTTGGAGAGATTTTCACTATAGGGCGCATGCGCTCCCCAGACAGACAGAGAGAGACATAGAGACAGAAAGCGAGAAATCACCCCCCAGGGGGGAAGGTCACACCACAATCCCTTCTCCTCCATTCTCCTCTCGGGATCTTGGGCACGCATGCACACGCGCCCAGCGTAAGTTTTAAGCCACCAGGTCCGGGACGTGAACCGCGGTCAACTACGTGGGAGTCCAGCGACATAGCCATTATGCTAACTGCTGGTTCTCAAATTCTCTTGTAAACAATAAATTTATTGATATGTATTTCACATACAGAAAAGTAGCCCATTTGAAGTATAAAATTCAAGGGCCAGCAGGTGATGTGATGGTTAAGGGCTTTGGACTCTCACATGGCTGACCATGGTTCGAGTCCCAGACCTGGCAGCTTGCTTTCTCACTTTTTCTCTCTCTTTCTCTGTCTCTCTCTCTGGTCAAATTAAAATAAATGAATAAAGTTAAAATATCTTTTAAAAAGTAAAGTGTATAATTAATTTGATTTTAGAATATTTACTGAATCAGCCTATTTCCAGAATATTTTCAGCATCCTCCCTAAAAACATCACATGCCCATTAGCAGTTTCTTCCCACTTCCCTCCTACTCCCAGCCCCTGACAATCACTAATCTGTTTTTCTAACCCTATGGATTTCCCTACTCTGGACACATTATATAAATGGGTCCTAGGGTAAGTAACTATAAAACAACAGTGTACTAATATTCAGTCTAAGGTGTCTGAATTTTTTCACTTATCATGTTTTCAAGGTTTATTCATATTGAATATCAGTATTTTGTTCTTTTTTAAAATCTATTTTTATAATTCTTATTATTAAAAATATGGAATGCCTCACAAATTTGTGTGTCATTCTTGCACAGGGGTTGTGCCAATCTTCTCTGTATCGTTCCAATTTTAGTTTATATGCTACTGAAGCGAGCACAGTACCTTGTTCTTTTTATGGCAAATAAAATTCCATTATACAGAAAGGCCATATCTCTTTATTTGTTTATCAGGTGGTACACATTTGTATGGTTTCCACTTTTGCTTTGTTATAAGTAATGCTAGTATGAACATTTGCATACAAGTTTTTGCATGAACGTGTTTTTGATCTTCTTGAGTAGGGACCTAGGAGCAGTCTTGACGTAACTCTATGTTTGACCTTTGAGGAACTGTCAAAATCGTAGAAGTGTTTTCTAAAGTGACTGCTTTACTTTATAATCTCACCAATTAATGTATGAGGGATTTAGTTTCTCCACATCCTGCCAACATTTATATTGTCTTCTTTTTTTAAAAAAAAATGTTCATTTTAATCATTCTAGTTTATGAGAAATAGTGTCCATGGTTTCGATTTGCATTTCTCTAAGGACTAATGATGTTGAGGATCTTTTCATATGCTTTTCATTGGCCATCTGTATATATTATTTGGAGAAATTGCTATTTAAATCCTTTGCTCATTTCCCCCTGTATTTTTAACTCTGTTTCACCCTATGACATGTAGAGTGGCTAGGCCTAGAGGCTGAATTCTTAATTGAGTTGTCTGCCACCATCTTGAGGGCACACTCTGTTGCAAATTATAGTGATGAAACTCTTGTACCTTAGCTCACAAGAGAACAGAATGCGAATTACTGAAATACTGGTGGCACTGGTCTCCATCTCCTTTTAAAGGACTTATTTTAGAGATTTAATCAGGGGGGATTCTTGGACCCAAATGACTAATTCCATCTGTAAGATGACAAGCAATCATGTTAATTGTTTCTTTTCACTTTAAGTCTCATGAGAAGTCATTAAAATACTGATTTTTTTTGTGTATTTTCTGCAATCATTGCACAGTCTTCATTACGTATTAACACTTGATAAATATTTTCTGATTTATTGGAAGCAACAAATGTGGTGGATTATTTAAGTAGTCAAGAGGTGAGAAAAGATAACTATAAAACAACAATGTACTAATAATTATTACTTTATTATTATTGGCCATAATGACACTACTGTTTATCAGACTATGTATAAAGAACTAAAATTTTACTCAAATTAGTTTGAGATATGCTAAATAAACTATACCCCTCTCTCATAAGTTCACAGTGCTTATGTCTATAAGAAGTTTAAAAAGAAAGTGTAAGGGATCAGCAGATAGCATAATGATTATTTTGTTGGAATTTGAGTCCCAGATACTGCGACTTAAAACAAATGCTGGGGTTGTGTGTGTGTGTACCCAAAATCCCAAGAGGAGAATGGAGGAGAAGGGATTGTGACATGGCCTTGCTCCCTTGGGGTGATATTTTTTGCTTTCTATCTCTCTGTATCTCTGGTGAGTGCACATATAGCTAAAATCTCTCTAAAAAAAGGAAGAAAGAAAGAAAGAAAGTTTAATTTTGTTTTACCTAATGTTTCCAATGTTATTTGACCACAGAATTCTTTTTTATTCTGTTTTCTTTTTTTTTTTTTTTTCTCTCCACACAGTACCTTTTAATCCTTCACAGATCTAGGGTCCTTTGGAAAGTGCTTTGGGAAATCTCGGTTTTAGACTCTAGATAAGATATAATAGCTCTGGGAGTTTGAAGGCCAGAACAATTATTTTTAACTATGTAGGTGGGAAGGGAATCAGAGAAACCTTCATGCAAAGGGTGACAGCTAATGAAATATGAAAATAATATGTATATTACTTAGAACATAGAGCTGCTATGATAATCATGTGAGATGACCATATAATATGCTAGAAAAATTTTACTAATTTGATCCTTTAAAATATAGATATGATTTCAGCAGACAGAGTGGAGGATAGGAGATGCAGAACTTCTAAGGTCCAGATCCCTCAAATTAAAATTCTGTTTCTGGTATTTGTTGTATGTCCTTTCCCAAGTTATTTAATCTGTCTGTGATTCCTATATCTCATTGGTAAAATGAGCATAACTTAAGAGTTAAAAGAGTTAATACACTCAAAGTACTTCAAATAATACCTCATGAGAGGATTTTTCAACTTTGGCATAGTTGACATTTTTAGCCAGGTAATTCTTTTTTTGTAGGAGCCTCTGGAATTCCAGATCCCTGGAATTCTACCCCTTAGCAGCAACTCTACCCTCCAAGTTGTGATGATTGAAAATGTCTCTAGATGTTGTCTAATGTCCCTTCTTGGGGAAAATTGTGGTTAGTGAAGAAGTGCTGCCTCAGATTAGCAATCATAATCTAAGTGATATAGTAAACCTTTATTAGTAGTATTTTTGTTTAGGGGAGAATTACATGCAACATTAATTTTTCCCGGGTTAAGCATAGGTTCTACATATTATACTTTGGTCCACATTCCTGAGCTCCATCAGTTGGTCTTTAATCCTGGGTCAAATTATAAAGTGCCACAATTGAGTGCTAGACTGATGGAAAAGGAAAATCATTTTCCAGGGAGATGGTGGGAAAATACAGGTATAAATTTTCCATGGAAGATTAATAAATAATAAATATGTAATATATAGTAAAATATGAAAAATATATAAATTATATATATATCTATATACATAATTATATATATATATTTGTGTGTGTGTGTATAAAAAACATAAGGAACTGAATCACATTAGTGATTCCAGAGAGGAAATCTACTTGGGTATAACATGGAGAAGCTGGCACCAAAACACAGGCATCAAAGCAGTTGTGTAGGCTTCATGATTGAACTTGAGTTGTGATGGATGGGTAGAATTTCAGTGCCCTGTGTAGTAATCAGGCTGTAATTAGAGCTATTAGAATATCAAAAACATAATTAACAGATTTTATTCTTGGACATTTGCTCTTTAATTTTATATGTTGGTAAGTGAATGGAGAATATTGGTGATTAAACTCTTCAACTATCACAATAAAAAATACTTAAGAGCCCTTGGAAATTTATTTACTAGGAAGATGGCATATTTAGTTATAGATAAAACTTAGCGTTCTTTTTTTTTTTTTTTCTCACTATCTGTTTTGATTTACTTTAGAAACTTTTCCAGAGGAAATTCCTTAGCTTTTAGTTTAGTTTAGTTTGGGAAGAATAAGACTTTTACATAGCTAACGAAAACAAACTACCTCAAAGTATCTTGGCTAAATGGTGTGTGGGAAAACAAGGGCTTACAGTTTTAAATTTTGGACTCACTGGAATTTTCTTTTTCCATTTTCAGCTGAGGAAGAAACAGGGTCTACATTTTCTGGGGTGTAGACAGATATAGCCTGCCTGAGCTTGGCTATGTCATTATCTTTCTGAGTGTCAATATCTTGGAGCATAAAAGGAAAAGGATAACCTAAGTCATCTCTATTGTCCCATTAGTTCAAACATTGTGTGATCCTCAAGATGAAATCTCTGTTTTATAGATATGCATTTATGTCAAGAGTTATGTCATAGTGAGTTTTTCATCATCATGGTAAAACTGGGAGAGTAGCAGATTGAGCAATACATTTGCACATCACAGTGCAACTGGTTATCCCTTATTTACACAAATCTTATTGAAGAAATGACAGTCAGAAGCCTTTCCATATTCAAGTATAAAAAAATCTATAAAATTATATTCAACTTGTTAGTAACCTGTGTCAGAGATTTTAATAGACTTATATTTCTTTTCTGTGTTCAGAAAAGGCTTTTCCAAGTGAATATAAGATATGACTACCCACTTTGGCTGCACCTTCTAAACTGTGGGTCAAGTTTATTAAAATATAGCTCATGACCTATCTCCTTTATTTGTTTTATTAAATGTGGTTTTTATTTTATCATAAAGTAATATGTACATATATATATAATATACATATATACATATATATATATATTATTTTGGGACTGTATTTATAATAGGTAGGAATGAGATTACAGATTTATACCACATGAAACAAATCTGATACTTGAAAACTTGCATTTAATGTGAAATTCAATGTGTAATTCTTCACATTGCCCTTATAATTATTTACTGATGTGTATTTATCCCTCAAGGATTATATTAAAGTAGAACATTTAGTTCACTATCTATACATTTGTAATGAAACAGATTGAACATACAAAGAATTTTTAAGATTTTATTTCTCGTTTAATTAAAATCAATTTATGTGGCTTAAGCAACTTATTTTTTAAATTAAAGTTCAAGTGATATTGTTATTTGATAGTAGTAATTGCATTGGATTCAGAGAAAGTGCTAAATGGGAAGGCAGAAAAAATTTTAAAAACCCCGAAAAGTTAGTATGGATCAATGAAAGAACTAATAATTCTATCTAAAACTTGGAAACTGAACAGACAAAAAATAGATACAAGATCAAATAATAAACTGATTTGTAATTTAAGGGTTATCAAAGTGGTTCCCGTCTTCTGCCTGTCTTTCTTTCACATTCTCTGCCTCTTGTCTCCTGCATACTGTGGAACACTAAGTTCATTTATATTTTGTTTCCCGAAGGGCAGAAACTGAGATTTAAAAATTTAAAGTCCTTTGAAGATTCTGCTACACTAGAGATTCAAATAAGATTGCTCATTTGTTAATACTGAGTTCCCAGTTTGACAACCTTTATAATGGCCTACATTTCCATGCATATGAATTAAAACTGTTGAACATTCTTTGCGTTAGGAGGTATTTAAAATGTAAAAAGGAAAACCTGATTTCTTGAGACCTACTTTGACCTTAATACTAGGTTAATTACTTTGTGTATGAAGCTGATAATACCATCTTTATTTCAATGAATCAGAAATTAAAGATGAGGGATCAGCAGGTGGCATCATGGTTACATTGTTGGACTCCCACATGGCAGACCACAGTTCGAGTCCTCAGTCTGTTAACTTGAAACTCTTAGGCACTGTGCCCAAGATCCTGAGAGGAGAGAGGAATAGACAGGATTGTGGCATGGCCATCCCCCCTGGGTAGTGATTTCTCACTTTCTGTCTTTCTGTCTCTCTGTCTCTCTGGCAAGCACATGTGGCCTAGAGAAAAAATCCCTAAAAAAAAA